CTGTCAGACACTGCAACACAAGGGTATCTTGGTACAGACCATCTACTTCGACAACCTCTACTAGTGAGAACGGCTGAGTTTGAGAAGGACCTGCCCTCCCAAATCAACCTACGTCTCACCTCCTGGCACTATATAAGGCCCGATTCTGTCACTTCAACTTCATATTGTTTCAGACAACGGAACAATGCTCTTCTCCAGACTGAGGGACTGACCACCTCATAACTTTAAGGGTGATGGACTGATTACATCGTCTCCAAGTATCTTCTGCTTCTATCAACTTTTCTGTACTCGACTGAAGAAGCCTACTGTGTAGGCGAAATGTTTCAAAATAAAGATACCTAACTGTTGCATATGTGTCTTACCTAACATAGTGAAGCTTACTGTGAGTGTAGACGAAGGTGAAAATAGTGAAGCTTACTGTGAGTGTGATGGTAAAGCTTACTGTGAGGGTGATGGTGAAGCTTACTGTGAGGGTGATAGATGGTGAAGCTTACTGTGAGGGTGATAGATGGTGAGGTTTTACTGTGAGGGTGATAGTGAAGCTTAATGTGTTTGACAGATGGTGAAGATAGTGAAGCTTACTGTGGTGTTAGATGGCTAAGATAGTGAAGCTTACTGTGTGTGAACGAAAGCGAAGATAGTGAAGCTTATTGTGTGATAGATGGTGAAGCTTACTGTGAGTGTGATAGTGAAGCTTAGTGTGTGATAGATAGTTAAGCTTAGTGTGAGTGTGATAGATGGTGAAGATAGTAAAGCTTACTGTGAGTGTGAAAGTGAAGATGGTGAAGCTTACTGTGAACAAGAGTGAAGATAGTGAAGCTTACCGTAGAGGCAGGCCAGATCAACCTCAGCCAGGTGTAATGGTGCACATGTAGAGGAGACGCTATCAACACCTATGTGATGCAACACATCAAGCTGGACCCGAGTGGTGTAGTGTAGAGCAGTGTTGGTGCCAGTCACCACCACCAGCAGCTTGTTCTTGTGAAGGTTAAGCTTGAGAGTGCTCCAGGAGTTTGGTGTTAGCAGCACCACCAGGCTGGTGTTAGTCTTGGTAACAGAACTCTCTAACATCAACTCAACCAACAACGCCTCATCCTCCTGCCACAAGTAACATAATATCACTTATTAACGTAATACTTATTTACATAAAACACGATAACTAGACGCTTCATGGAGTTCCAGTCATTTTATCTAAAATTAAATATGCAAAACTCAAACGCATTGAAACGTCAAATATTCAATAAAATTACGCTATGGTTAACCGAATATATTTTTAAAAAATAAAATTTAAATTTTTGCAGGGAAGAAATGGTCCACGGGAAAATAATTTCCCCGTCACTATGCAGCCACATACATAATGGTACAGTGTTGATGGTGGAGCTCCTATGAGATAAGGTATTAGATTATTTTATTTTTTTTTTATTTTTAACACATGGGGCCGTTTCCCCCCAAAGGGCGGGTGGCCCGAAAAAAGAAAAATTTTTTACCTCATTCACCCATCACTTCTTCCCAAAAAGGGTGCTTTACAACATTTTAAAAACTGCAACATTAACCCCCCTTCCTTCAGAGTGCGGGACACTGTACTTCCCATCTCCAGGACTCAAGCCCGGCCCCCGGGTTTTCCCCTGAACCCCTTCAAAATGTTCCCCTTGCTTACACTAACAGCACGCCAAGTCCTAAAAACCATTTATCTCCATTTGCCCCTAACACCTCACGCATGTTTGCTGGGAAGTCCAAGCCCCTGCACACAAAACCTCCTTTACCCTGCCTTCCCTTACTACTCCATTGTGTCGGTATTTTAACCATTTATTTCCCCGGGGCCCATTGGCGGTCCTTTACAATCCTCCACAACAAAACATTTGTTAGGTAAAACTGTCGGATTTACCATTTTGATTTAAACAAAACATTTCCCCAAACCCAATTGTCAATGCCACCCAAGAAAAAACTTGATAACTTATCCATCTCAATGCAATCCCACTAAATCCAACCCCTCTCATCATGTTTTTATCCAACCTATTTTTAAAACTACCCAAGGTTTTAGCCTCAATAACTAAGAACTAATAAGAACACTGCAGAAGGCCCCTACTGGCCCATGCGGGCTGGTCTTATCAAAACGCCCTCTCCCCAAAGCCCCCAAGAAAAAAACCCCCGTACCCATGCACCAATCAAACCCCCCCCCCCCTCCCACTCATATATTTGTCCAGTCTCTTTTTAAAGTCCCCAAGGTCTAGCTCTATCCCCCCAGGGGAAGACTTTTCCCCACGCATCTCAACCAAAACCAGTACTTACCTGTCCTTTCAAAATCAAAATTTTATCCAACTTATATCCATTTTTTTCCTGGTTCTTCCCTGGTTGGGACACCCTCGTACTTTATTAATTCCCCCTTGTTTATCCCTGTCACCCACTTATAACTTCAATGATATCCCCCCTCATTCTACGCCTCCCCAGAGAGTGGAGATTTAAGGCTTTAAGTCATTTCTAGGGGAGGTTCTTACACAAAAATCATTTTAGTCATTTTCTCTGTATGTTCTCTAATGGTCTATACCCCCTGTATAAGGGGCCCAAAAACTGAGCACATAACTAAATGAGGCCTCATAGTGTGTAAGAGCTGTAAAAAAAATTTTGGGATTCTGTTTATTTATACTTTTGAATAAATCCAAGTAATTGTTGGCCCTTGTTGCCCCAACAAAGGCACTGCTGTTTTGGGCTTTGATTCTGCTTACCATGACTCCCAAGTCTTTTTCACATTCTGTTGATAAGCTCTACTTTCACCTAGTTTATAGCTTCGAGGGTTATTTTATTAGGGTGATGTCTTGCCAGTAAAGACCTGTTTGTGTGCTCTTGAGTGGTCCCTGTACTTTGGTTGACCTGTATTAACTCTGTGAAAAAGTGTCTTGTTTGCTCCCGTGGACTGAACCAAGATCCCTCCATCGAGAATTTACCAGAATTTAAAGGAAAATTTGAGGGCAGCGAAGATGGAATACGGGCGATTGACCCAGGAAAACAAGGGTTTGTAGTGTCCTCCTGTTTTGAGTCCTCGGCAAAAAAAGGGGGCGTGGCAGTGGTTGGCAGCGGGTACGCGAAGTTGACGATCAAGAAGACGAATGGAAGCCAGAAAAGGGAAGAAGAAAGAGACGCTGTGGAAATCCCCTGGAAACCCTCCAAGCATTCTCGGTTTTCTACCCGCGAATGTGGTCTACTCTGGGATCGCCGACGAACGACAACAAGGAAGGTAAAAATTTGTTGTTGTTTGGGGATAGCCGGTTAGATAATGGGTAGGGCAATTTTTGCTTGAAGGACAGGAGTAGGGGACAAAGGGGTTTCTTTTTCCCGGGGCGGATGGAGGACATTGTTACCGGCTTGACAAAATCATGAAAGGTAATGGGGTCAATCCTTTTTTTTGCCCAGTGCTGGAGGCAATGATGAGGCAAGGAGAAATGGGATTTAGTTGAAAGTTCAGGCGCTATAGACATGTTAGGAAAAAGGGGGGGCGCCCTGTTATATGTGGCTTTTTTCCAAGAAGAGGTGTTTGGGAAAGAATGGTTGTCCAGAGCAATTTGGGATAATTGTTGGCTGGTAAACATGTAAGGGTAATGCAGTACCATTCATTGCAATGGGGAAACTTCTAGGCCGAAATGAATGTATGCCGGGGTGGGGTTCACTTATCAGGGGAGGTGTGGGTTTTCTTTCTAAAAATCATTGAGGGGGTTTTTAGGACTTTAAACTGGATTATTAGGGTATGGTTTTGAAAAGATTAATAAAGAAATGGGAAAATTACTTATGCTTGATATTAAGAAACTTTAAAAGTAACTGTCATGGAGTAACTCTGGGGAAAGTAATTTCAGAAATTTTGTAAAAAAAAAAGATAATGGAAAAAAAGTGCAGAAAAAAAAACATATGATGGGATTTTAGCTAACGTCGAAGTGAAGAAAAAATTAATGAACTACGTTTGGGAGCATGTGCCCGGGGAAATTTGATATCATTGCTTTAAATGAAACGTGGTTGATTTAAAGAGTCGGGATATGATGCTGAGTGTAAAAATTTTAGGGATTTAAGTTTTTTCAATGTGGATAGAGTAAGGGAAGGGGGGAGGAGTTGCTTTTTATGTTCGAAAATATTTAAATTTTTGCTAAAAAAAGGATAAAATAGATGGAGCAGTAACAGAGTCTGTTTGGGGGAGTTCGTGGAGGGTCAAGAAAAACTAAATTTTAGGTGTAATATACCGCCTCCAGGTTGGATCACGAAGAGGGGAGATTCTTTTGGGACGAAATTTTTAGGGCTTTTTGGAACAGTAAGGTCATGTAGGGGACTTTAACTTTAGCCAAATTGATGGAAAATTTTTTGACAGGTAAAACTAGAGTCCAGTGACTTCATGGAAAAGTTTAGGGGTTTTTTGAAACGGTGAACTGAAAATACCAGGGGTAAAAATTTGCTAACCTAGGCAAAAAAGGAAACACTCTGAAAAATCTGGAGATCATGAAGGCTTGGCCAATGATCCAAATCCTCACCTTTTGCTTAATTGGAATGCAAGGGAATAAAAAGATAATACAGTAAAAAACCCCGATTTCGTTTTTCTCCGATTTTTTAAAAAGGACTTAGGGAACATCTGTTAATCTTGATTGGGGGTTTTCAGCTAATGATTTTATTGCGAAATCATACTTAGATATGAAGGGGTTGCTTTTGATTTTTTCTTTTAATTACACAGTGCCCGAGTATATACATTCCCCAGAAGAAATTAGGGCTAAAAATAACGATCCCAAATGGGTTAACAGGAGGTAAAGCATCTATTAGGGGAGAAAAGGGGGAAAATTTTAGGGGGCATCGAAGAGGAGAGGGTTTAAACCCTTTCTGAACCAATATGTTCACTTAAAAGAGAATAAAAAAAAAAACATTAGAAAAAGGGTAAACGTTTCTATGAAATTTAAATTCTAAAAGAACAAAGATAATTCAAAGGGGGTTTTTTCAAGTGTATAGACGAAGGTGAAGGAAAAAGTAGGACCTTGAAATCGGGAATTTTGGGCAGCTGACGGTAAAGAACTGGAAAAGTGTTTCCCTTTTTTAAAAGACTATTTTTTGTCAGTTTTTTACACAGGGAAAATGTAAATGAGATTCCCGTAAATTAACAAATTTTTAGTTCCCCGATGAATTTAAGTTTAAATAATTTATGTCACGAGGGGACATGGTTATTAAAAAAGATAGCAAACTGAAAAAAATAAATCCCCCGGGGCCCGATGAGTTGTTTTCAAAGGGTATTAAGGAATGCAAGATGGGCTTGTCGCCATTAACGTGTATTTTAATGCGTCCCTCCTTACCAGTGTTTGCCAGAGATGGGAAGATGGAATGGGTTCCTTTAAACAAATCAGGGGGGTAAGCCACTCCTTTAAAATTACCGTCCAATAAGCCTGACATCTTAGTGGGCAAGTTATTAGAATAATTTTAGCTGACATTATAAAGTCACCTTTAAGAGCATAACTTGATAAATGAATCCGCATGGATTACGAGAGGGCGTTCCTGCCTGACAAACTTACTGACGTTCTTATAGAACATTTGAGGCAGTTGACAGTGTAAGGAATATGATATTGTTTTTTTTTTTGTAAAGCCCTTTGACAGGTACCTCACAATAGATTTAAAAAAAAGTGGGCCATGGTATAGGAGGTAAAGTTCTTTTGCATGGATTGAGGCATGGCTTACCAATAGAAAGCAGAGAGTTACCATTAATGGAGTGAAATCTGAATGGGGATTAGTCACTAGTGGCGTTCCACAAGGGATCAGTTTTAGGCCCTCTCTTGTTCATAATTTACATTAATGACCTTGATGAAGGGATTACTAGTGACATGAGTAAGTTTGCTGATGATACAAAGATAGGCCGTATAATTCACTCTGAGGAGGATATCAATGAACTCCAGGACGATTTGAACAAATTAATGTCTTGGTCTGAGAAATGGCAGATGAAGTTTAATGTGGATAAGTGTAAGGTACTTGCCCTTGGTAATGAAAATAACCCTCGAAGCTATAATCTTGGTGAGGTAGAGCTTGGTCATACAGAATGTGAAAAAGACTTGGGAGTCATGGTAAGCAGAAATCTAAAGCCAAGACAG